ACGGCTGCCGCAAATAGATACGGCTGCCGCAAATAGATACGGCTGCCGCAAATAGATACGGCTGCCGCAAATAGATACGGCTGCCGCAAATAGATACGGCTGCCGCAAATAGATACGGCTGCCGCAAATAGATACGGCTGCCGCAAATAGATACGGCTGCCGCAAATAGATACGGCTGCCGCAAATAGATACGGCTGCCGCAAATAGATATGGCTGCCGCAAATAGATACGGTTGCCGCAAATAATTACGGCTGCCGCAAATAGATATGGTTGCCGCAAATAATTACGGCTGCCGCAAATAATTACGGCTGCTGCAAATAGATACGGTTGCCGCAAATAGATACGGTTGCCGCAAATAATTACGGCTGCCGCAAATAGTTGATATATTACTGGTAACTATCACAAGAAGACAACTATTCTGGTAGATACAATCATAGAACACTGTAAATAATTATTACCATTATAGTTACAAATGATTATTACTTTCAAACAATACTATCAATACAAGTAATTACTACTGCTGTCATTAACTGTTATAAATTTTATAAATTTTATTAAATTTTACATTACTAATTATTTTATTGACATAACAAAAAAATTGAACAAGATATTCAGAAAATAGATTTTTTCCATTTAAACTTTAAATTGTGAAATTGAAAATTTTTTAACTATTTACTAAATATATAAAATATTCAATATATTATTCTAAATCACTTAGATAATTAGAAGCTAATTGTGCTGGGTCGTAATCTTCTATTTCTTCAGTTGCTTCACTGTTTGTATTCTCCTCTTGATTTGCTGTAACATAATCATTATTGTTTATAACAACAAATACTTCATTTAGTGAGAGAATTCTTTCCAACTCTAATTCAATGTCATCACTAGGTTCAGAATCATCATTATTTTCGGGAAGTAATTCTAGAATTGAATCATTATTTTCATCATCTTCTTCTTCTTCTAGTGTATTATATGCAGCATTTATCCAACTCCTAACATCATTTTCACTTTTATCCTGAGCCACAAATCCAAGCTCTTTCTTTGCATCAGTAATATAATATCTGTGAATTTTAGCCATTGCTTCTAATTTTTCTAGTGATAAATTTTGACGGCGCTTGCCATAAAACCAACCCAATGAAGAAAATATACGCTCACAGCAAGCAGAGCTAGGTGTGACTGCAAAAATTTTTAAGGCAAGTTTCTTGAGGTTATCTGTTTGATCATTGCATGTCATCCACCAGGAATAAGGAGTATCATAGTTATCTGAGAAAGGTGCATCATATGGTTCTGAATGAAGTTGATATTTACGTAATTGAGCATACAGATCTTTACATGAATTTTGATTATGTCCTAAATCTTTCCAAATACTTCCAGCATGCATTAAAATTTTTGGAAAATATTGTTTATTAATACCAATGCCTATTTTTAATAAATATTAATATTTAATATAACCATTAAATTATAAAAATTATAAATTAATTATAATTATATTAAATAAATTAAATAACCTTTATATTTAGGATGTAGGTAGTATGCTAACAAATATGTATCATTCATGAATTCTGAAAATCTAATATTAATATAATAATAAAATATTATAGCATTTAAATATGATTATATTTTAATTATTAGTTCAAAATAGTATTTACCTTTCATTGAACACTTTTATGCAATGATTTCGAAATCCTTTATAATCATCAGATGGTAATTGTTTGAATGCAGCAGCAATTTTGATGAGACTAATATAACAATCAGCAAGTGAAACACATGAGCTTTCTAATTCTTGAATGGCTGTTCGGATTGGTTTTAATGTTTCAGCTAAAGCATTTATATCTTCAAAAAAACCTCTTCGTCGAAGAATATTTTTTACAGTATCATTTGAAATAATATCAAGATTGGAATGAATTACCTATTTATTATATTTATTTAAAAAAAGCTTAGAAATAAAAAAATGTCAATTAAAAAAAATATATAACATATGAAATATTAATTTACTTCTTGTAAACATGGTTGTAGCCTCACAATTGATGATATAGAATCATGTGTAGTAACCCATCTTGTGGGCACATATTGTTTCAAACCACCGCCTTGTATTGCTTTCTCTCTAATAAGTTGGTTTAAGTGATTATTTGCTATGTAAGACTTTTTAAAAAACTTAACAACAATACTTGTTCTTCTAATTAACCTCTCTGCAAATCCATGTTTAATTACATCTTTTGAAATTAGATTAAGACAGTGATTTATACATCTCAAATTTAATATATGTTTATATTTATTCTTGACTATTGTTCTTGCCAAACTAACATTGGCACCTGAATCTGATAAAAGTGCAACGATTCTTTGTGGACCAATCTTGGTCATCACATTTTCAATTTTTTCTGCAATAATTTGTGCTGTATGTCTTTCAGCAGACAAATCTTCTAACTTATACAAATACTCTTTTTTATCAGAAGTTGTAATGACAAAATTCCAAATTGACAGACCATTGGGGCTACCCCACCCATCAAGGCCTATAATGATAAATTAATTGTGAGATAATTAAATAAAGATTAAAACTATAGTAAAAAAAAATTTTTAAAAAATTTATGACGCTTACTTAATGTTATATTTTTACTTTTTGCAAGTAATTTTTCAATCTTTAAATTAATACTGGCGACTTCAATATCTAAGAGATTTGCAGATAAAACATCAAATGAAGGAGGTTGATATCCACCATTAAGCTGTTTTAACAATTCTAAAAAATATGGATTTTTAATCGCTGAAAAAGGAATGTCACACATTACAAATGCTCTTAAAAGAGAATGATCAATTTCTTTTTTGCGTCCTAATGGTAAATTAATTTTATCATAAAAATCATGCAATGTGCTGCCAGCTACTGATTTTGGTCTTTTAGTAACCTGATTTCTGTCATTGTCATAATCATCATCATTACTACTTTCATCAAGAGGTGAAGATCCATATTCTTTTAAAAAAGCATTTAAAATTGTGTTACGAATGTCATGAGGAACTTGTAGACAATTATTAGATAGATGAGCAGCCATTCTTTTGGGTTTTCCACAATTCCAAACTCTTTTACAAAAATTACATGTTGCTTTGTAATGACCATGACCTGTCACTTCTCCCATTTTGAAGTAGTTCCAGATATAAGAAAATTGTCTACCTTTTCTTTTATTTAATGCCTTTTTATTAGAAAACCTCGATGAACTTGAAGGGAAAGAAATACTGTTGATTTGGTTAGAAGGAAAAGAGCTATCTTCATTCTCATCAGGAGGATAAAAGTTGTCTTCAAGATTAATGTCATTGGTATTATTTGTCATATTTTCATGAGAAATTTTTGAATTATTTGTAGATCAGTTCAGTAACTAAATTTTTTTTGATGAATTTAATTAATGTATAAGTATTTTTGTTGACCATGTTTTGCTGCATGATAATTCCAAATATATCAAATTTTCTTAATAAAAAAAGTTTAAGTCCTATTATATCGCATTTTGATATTATTAAAGTATATAGACAATGATCACACAAAAAAAAAATGCTTTCAATTTTATTATAATGTATTATGCCTTATGCTTTATGCTTTGTGCCTTATGCATTTATTTTGTATATATATATATTATATAGAATATAGAATTTTACAAGAATTAACATTGTTTATATAGCATTTTCAAATTTTCAAAAAAGCCTAAAAAAAAACCTAATTTTTGCATGATATCATAAAAATAAAAACAATGATATCATTTTGTAATGTCATCATTTTTACATCATTTTATTAATTATTAATAATAACGTTAATAATTAAATTAATTAATATAGAAAATAGTCAAAACGAAAATTGAAATAATCATATAATGTTTTAAAAATCTTGCCAAATTTTTTAACTAGAAAAAAAAAAAAATAAAATAAAAAAAAAATCCCGGTGACCGGCATATTCGCATACTCTAGTTGGTAATAAAATTTGCAATTAATTATTTGCGGCAGCTATATCTATTTGCAGCAGCCGTAATTATTTGCGGCAGCCGTATCTATTTGCGGCAGCCGTATCTATTTGCGGCAGCCGTATCTATTTGTGGCAGCCGTATCTATTTGCGGCAGCCGTATCTATTTGCGGCAGTCGTATCTATTTGCGGCAGCCGTATCTATTTGCGGCAGCCGTAATTATTTTATAATGGTAACTACCAGGGGTAACTACCCTATGGTAGCTACCATTGCCGCAAATAACCAATTATGGCAGGTGTCTTTAAACCTATCAGATTTGGAATTTGAAGCAATAACCTTAGGAAGGACATTAAGATATCTCCAAAGTTAAGCTATGAAATAAAACCTTTTGATTGTCAGAAATGTTAATAGAAAGCTGAAAAAGACTATTTTTAATGTTAGTAAACCCAAATAAAATTGATACCAAGTTTTTTTCCTGATTCCCTTTAATATACCATCATGTAATATCTAAAAATTGTCTAGAACTTGCAATGAGGATCCAAATGTGAATTATCAGTACATGTGTATGGTGTTGGAAGATAGCAGTGTTCATACTGCTGAAATTTAGACATCTCTATTTAATTATAAGAAAAAATTCATATTAACATAATTCTGTAGTGAAAAAGTTGTTTTGAACTAATTTATTTAATATTGCTTAATTTAACAATAATATAGTGCATGGTAACTCATCTTGAATCTTAAACTACTTATTTAACTTAACTTTATTAATAAACTATACTTAAAATTATCAGTATAATAACTCAGGTCTTCAAAGATATGTTGTAAATTTTTCATATGGTTGGCTCGGTCTAAAGACCTCCTATTGCTGCGCCACGCGCTCAATTTCAAAAATTGCAATTTCGTGACTCGTTCAAAAATGCAATAAATTTTTTTAAAAAAGGGTTACACGTGATTTTGGTTAAAAACTATTTTCCTTACTGCCAAATTTAGATATGATGGTCGAGTATTAGGCTAAATTTAGTAATGATAATCAAACCTAGTCTAAATTTAGCAATGATCCTAGCGCTCAAATTTCTCATGAGCATAGTAAAGTACATGTTTTAAAAAAGAATAGAACTCTACAATAAATAATTTTTTGGAGAAAATCTCTTCATTACATTAAAAGTAGAAACCTATTTTACCAACTAATGAGGCTATTTTTTTAAAAGGTAGGACAGAAAATGACTTCTATACTTTTAAAATTTGCCCAAAATTTAGGAGGTCTTTAGACCAAGCCAACTATAGTTAATTTATTTGTTTGATAATTATGAATACAAAGAATTGGAGAAATAATAATTAACAATAAAGAAATTTATTTATTAATGATAGACCTTTGGCTGTACATCAAGCAAGGTTTGAATATTCGGAACAAAGCTCTAAAGGTTGTGGTGGTAATGATGGTGGCAGTGGCAATAATCATAATTCCATGGATACAAGTTGGTAATAAAAAAAATAAAAAAGTAATCAATAATTAATAGTTGATGCAACATTGCTTACATATCCTTTTAATAATTTATTATTAACAGTATATTGTTACTATAGGAATATTAATTAGAATATTTTGATGTTGAATTTTCTATCAAATACAAATAATTTTTATTTTCTAAAAATAAATAATTAATAATAAATAAAATATGATTGCGTAACAGATTGTACACTGTCAGATCGTCAGATCATTCAACCTTTGGAAAAAGAAATTAATATGTTAAAATAATCACACATACCTTTAACATAGCAGTAACATCAGTGCTTATAATCTTGAAATAATTGTCACCTTCTGGTCAATTGATATGATTTTAACCCAAAAATTTTACATATGTTATTTATTTATATTAATAATAAATTTTTCGATTGACATAGAATTTTATATGAAAAAAATCATGCTTGCATGCATAAACTTGCACAATTAATCAAATCATTTCTTTAATTATAAAAATACGAAAAAACCTTTATTTTGATATTTTTCACCAGGGTAAACAAATAAAGCTTTAAGAAAATCTTGACCTGAAGTTGGACATTGGTTATATATAATGAAATTAGGTAACGCACAACATCTCAACTTTTTGAAATAATAAATTTAGATGCAATAGTTAAATAATATTCATTCCAGATAATTTTAATGCTTTTTAGGTGGAATTTAAATCCGCATAACAGATTTGGTTTTTTTGAGTAGTTATTAATTTATTTATTGTTTTTCATTCTGTTACTTTAAATAGGATTACAAACGAAGATATTGAAGTGTAAATTTAATGCTATTTATTTTCCCTATTGTTTTTCATACTATTACTTTAAATAGGATTTCAAACAAAGGTATTTGAAGTGCCATTTATTTTTCCTATTATAATTATGGTACATACAATAAGAGATTTAATCGAATCATTCAAACAAGATGTGATGCAGATACACTTCATGGTGCAAGATGCAATTCATGCAAGGCATATTCATTTTTCACAACAACAAGGATTAGACTCTATACTTGTAAGATCATTTATTCAAAATTAATAATTAAAAGAATACAGTAATATGTAGATATTATTATAGAGATATTGAAAAAATTTTTATGTTTTATTTTTATGATTATAGGAATGATTATAATGATATCAGGAAAAAGATGAAACAAATGTGAAGTGACAAAGATTGGATATTTTATACATAATTATTAATATACAAAATGATGTGTATGTGGATATTGATTGATTAAATAAAAAGATAGTGGTGATAGATCCTCTCTACATTTGTTTCTAGTTGTATATATGATTTATTGTTATTGTTAGTTATTTTTCTTCTAAATTGTCTTCTGGTAACTAAATATGGTAGACACTGTGAATCTTTTGATAAAAAAATTTTTTGATCCTTATTTTGAATATATATATATATATATATACACATTTATGTATAAAGTGATTACTAATATTCCATGCTATGTTAACCTGTAATTCAATTTCATAAATATATTTTCTTTACATATTAATAGATAATAAAATTTTTGATTCATTATTAATATTATTTTTGAAATTTGGTTTATGTGATTCTAAAAATAATAACCATATAAATAATTATGAATCAATTTCTTATAATAAAAGTCAAAATTTTTCCAATACAACCTCCTGAGTGATTATAAACAACTTTGTAAGAAACACTTTGACACAACTATTACTGTTGAGTTTACTTTATTCTGCGCGTTAGTTGAAAGAAAACCTTAATGTGAAAAAAAGTAACCCTTGCAGCCTGGCGTAGAATAACAAATAATTAAGTTAGACTCCTATTTTAATAGTTGTTAGGAAGCATTAGTCTGGCTCTAAAAAGAAAAACAACAAATTTTTTTTTTTGAAATGAAACGACAAAAATGTTATCCATGTAACAGTTATAATGACACCAGCGCACAAAATTTTCTTGTGAAAATTTCGGAAATTTTTTCTGAAATGGATGAAAATGTAAAATGATCGTCAGAAATAATAATAAAATTAAAAGATTTACTGGAAGAATGAAAATTCTGCCGAAAAAAACCGGCAAATTAGAGTACCTTTTTGTGCGCTGAATGGCACTTGATCTGCAATGTATAAGCGCCACAAAACGGCTTTAATTTTGATAATAAACGCCACAAAACGGCTTTAAACCAATAAAATAAATTCATTATTCGGATAACTTTATAAATAGAAATTAAAATCAAAGGAAGAATTAGTTTTCAGAGTTTTTTCGCACTCACTACATTTTAAGCAATTACTTTAATTAAATCCTTATTTTATTTTTAAACGCATGCATGCATTTAATTTTTCGTATCTTGCAATGTTGTATGTTTTTGAAAAACAAATAAAAATGGTAATTATAATAATTTAATGGGACGCCAAGTGAAAATATTTTCTGAATTGAAAAAAAAACTCAAGATAAACAAAACAAACAACAAATAAAATGTGGTTCATTTTAAAATCTTTTTTAAATGAAATTATTCGGTACAAAAAAAAACAATTGAACGGAATTGGATCACTTTGTCATGATCGTCATTTTTTGTCTCTTTGTTCTTTATATTATGTTGCTGTTTCTGTTTCAGATAGATCCATAAATCAACCTAATTAATCCATTACCGTCTTTAAATTAGTCTTTGACTACAAATTATTAATACATTAGCGAGTGTAACTCGGGAATTCGATGTGGAAATGACAACGGCAATAAAGAAGAAAGAAGGAATGATGGTGTGATAAATACGAGTTAGATTCATAACAGTTAATTGGTTATGAATCAATTGAGTGTCACAATTACTTGAGAAAAAAATTTTTTAAGCTTTCAAGTGTGAATGTGAATATTTATGTATTTACGTGTGTTCTCACTCTCACTCGACTATAAATATTTAAACATCACATCACACACACGCCATCACTATTATTTATTATTGTTGTTCTTCAATAAACAAAACAATATTTTCGTGTTTGATGTTGTGAACGCAATTTTCCCAACGCATATTTAGATATTGAAATTGAAAGAATTGGGAAACAAAGTGATCAACGAAATAAAAACTAAACATATTAATACTAATTAGATTCATTCAATTTCGAATTCAATCGGGATCTATAGTTCAAACTGACTGGGAGGTCTCTGATTCATCATATTTGTAAATTACGTGTTTGCGTTCCTGTTATTTGATCTTTATGTAGAAGTGTTTGGTAATGTTATTCGTTGTTTATGTGAATTTTATTTATTATTTATTTATTATTTCATTTATTATCATTTATTATCATTTATTATCATTTATTATCATCTATTATCATTTATCATCCATCATTTATTATTTACAATTTTAAGACAATTAAGACAAAGAAAAAATCAAGCTTTGGGGAAATAGTATAGAAACGAAAAATTATTCTTGTTAAGCATTAAAAAGCGAGTTAGATTTATTTATTGCCGACGTGATTATTACAATTATAGTTACTATTATTGCCAATGATCATCACAACAATTCATTATATAATGACGAGTTTTAATCACTGGAATGATCTTCATAATTTCTATTATTCGGAAATTTCTTCCATTGCATATGGGTTTCTTTCCAAATTATATTCTCTTGCATTTCCCGCAAATTTTCAACAGTTTTATTTTATTAATCAACAATCTCCACACCACATATGATTTTATTACATAACGTACATACATGATGATGTTACATAAATTAAATATAGATTAATGAACAATTATTTGGTAATTGGTTATTATGTGTTATGATGGTAGTAAATGGTAGAAGAAAGAAGATAGTCATTGATTGACTTGTATAAATTTTAAATTATATGCTAATGCCCACATTTTTTATATGCACTTTTTGCATTATACCAATATATCCCACATATTTAGTATATTGTTGCCATAACTCGCTCTTTAATATTAATGTTTCAGAATTAGGAATTATAAATTGAACGAGCCACTCGCTATATAGGTCTACTATTATTATTTATATAGTAATTAATTAATTATCACAATAACAATCAATAAATAAAAAATAAAAATAATCTTAAAATAACTGAAATAAGCTAAACAAACAGGATATTAAATATAGCAATTCAATTACCAATTTGAACAAACTTTATGATAGACCAAACACAAAGTATACTATTTTTATATTTTCATCAAAATCTATGCATATGGGTTCATTTGTTTAACTTTTTTATTTTATTTTATTTTTTTGATTTTAAACATTTTTTATTTATTATTTTTTTATTTTTCCACATCTTTATCTCTATAACATATGATATGATATAACTAATTGGTAAAAAAATTAGCCAAAATTCTTTTTTTAGAATAAATTTTCAAAAAAAGAAAAAAAAAAGAACGTGTGATGATGAATTAGATTGTTTTGTTTGTTGTGACATTTGTTTTTGGAGCGAGCTAGTTTTCAAATAATTGTTCTTTAATTTTATAATTGTTCTTAGTTTCACACTTGTTGATGGATGATAACAAGACGGTGAAATTTAAAAAATAAAAAAATTATTAATTTATTTTTTTGTTTGTTTTGTGATAAAAAAATTTTTTTAATAATAAATCTTGAAACCAACCAACTTCTTCTCTCACATCTCGCATATAATTTTTTTTTTTATAATTAAAAAAAAAACTATAAAAAAAAGGATTAAATCCACAAACAATTATAGTCAAAACAAATATTTTTTTCTTTATAAATAATAATAAAAAAATCCTTAAAAAAAAATTCTTTAAATATTTCTCAGGAAATTCAAGAAAAATTTTTTTTATAAAATAAATAAAAAAGAAACCAATTTCTCAAAAATAAACTAAAAACAAATTTATCAGAATGGAATCAACAACAACAATTGTTAGGGAGAGTGCAGTACTTGATGCTTTGAGAAATGCCATACTATCGTTGAATTCAACAATTCACGGAGGAATCGACGAACAAAGTTCTTTCTTATACCGATCAATCCTACATGACACCTCATTAAACTCCAAAGAAAAATCCGCTGCATTAATTCAACTAAATCATTTGGTGGATGTTTATAAAGTGTCGTTTAAAGATGGTAGCAAAAGATTTTGTGACCAATGTGAAAAATGGTGTTACTCGATTGAGTATTGTGAACTGTGTATTAGACAACATCTGGAAAAACAGTTTATGTCTTGGACCTCTGGTAATCAAGGAATCGATGAATTAATTCGTAAATGCCAACTTAACACTCTGGTCCCATATGGAATTGTTGAATGGATACCTTATGAAAACTTCAACAATGTGCAATTCAAATCAAAAAATTTTTATTCTACAATTTTCAATGCTGTCTGGTCTCAAGGTCCAAACGAAGAATGGTTACCTGAAAGCCACTCGTTATATCGCTCCGGTCCAAAAGATGTCATATTAAAACGTCTAGACAATTTCAAAAATCATGGAAATGATTGGTTTGAAGAGGTAATTGTTTCATTCTTTTTAGAATGAAAGAAAGAAATTTGATTTAAAAAAAATTTGGCTCAATTAAAATAATCTCATTCTATTTTTTTTTAGGCCGAATCATATCTTACATTAAATATGAAACTGGGATATGTTGTAACATGTTACGGTATCACCAAAGACCCAACCACATCAGACTACATGATCGTCATGCGTAAAATGGATTATGACTTGAAAGAGTTTGTTAAAGACAATGCCAACAATGTTTCAAATTTGAGTTGGTCAAAAAAATATAGTATAATAAAGAAAATCGCTGATTGTCTATTACATATTCATGAAGCAAATTCCATACATAAAAACTTGCACTCTGGAAATGTTTTGTATTCTTCATATTAAAACGTCTAGACAATTTCAAAAATCATGGAAATGATTGGTTTGAAGAGGTAATTGTTTCATTCTTTTTAGAATGAAAGAAAGAAATTTGATTTAAAAAAAATTTGGCTCAATTAAAATAATCTCATTCTATTTTTTTTTAGGCCGAATCATATCTTACATTAAATATGAAACTGGGATATGTTGTAACATGTTACGGTATCACCAAAGACCCAACCACATCAGACTACATGATCGTCATGCGTAAAATGGATTATGACTTGAAAGAGTTTGTTAAAGACAATGCCAACAATGTTTCAAATTTGAGTTGGTCAAAAAAATATAGTATAATAAAGAAAATCGCTGATTGTCTATTACATATTCATGAAGCAAATTCCATACATAAAAACTTGCACTCTGGAAATGTTTTGTATTCTAGTGAATTGAAAGATTGGAAGTTGGGTGATTTAGGATTCTCTGGTCCAATTAATAAGCCATCATCATCATCATCATCATCTGGAGTAGGAAATATTTACGGAAACTTGCCATATATTGCACCAGAAGCTTTGAGAGGTGATGGATATACTACGAAATCGGATATTTACAGTCTTGGAATTATTATGTGGGAATTGATTGATGGCGAGACACCATTTGGCAATCGATCGCATGATTATAAGTTGGCTATTGACATCGTGAAAGGCTTACGTCCTAAAACACCCAGCAATCAAAAATACTTGCCTGAAAATTATATTTTGTTAATGAAACAATGCTGGGACGCCGACCCTGTTAATAGACCAAATGCTGAGTACATTTATAATAGAATTATAGAAATACTTGATCGTTATTATGGCGAAGACAAATTTGAAGCTGATGAAGGTATTGAATTATTAGAAAGAAAAGAAGAACCATGGTTAAATAATGATGATGAGAGCGAAGAAGATAATGTCACCACTTCAACATCATCATCATCATCTACAACTAGAAGAAGTTCGTCACCATCACGATATAGTTTAATGCAATCAAGTAGATTGTATAGATTTAAAAATTTACCAAAGCCCAGAAATGCAAATAGTAGTAATAGCGATAATAACAACAATAGCAACCAACAAATTGGTTCTTGTCATAAAAGAAATTATAGTTTTCAATTCTCCGAAGATATTTATACTGTCTCATAAATTATTATTACAAAATATTTTTATTCCAACTCGTAAAAAAAAAATAATTCGTTGTTTTCGTAAAAAACAATTTAATTCGATTTTTTTTCCATTTTATAAAAAGTTTTGTAAATACAATGTTATTATTTATTTATTTTTTACATAATATAATTTTTTCTTTTTTTTTTTCTTTTTCAATTCTTCATAATATTTTATCAATAATCATATTCTCGTTGATTATTCGATATAAAAATTTTTTTTTTCGCATTTTCTTTTCATGGCATTTGGCAAACAAAAATAAAAATCGGCAAAAAATAAAATTATAAACAAATATAACGATGGCTCCTTTTATTATTAAATACAAACGAATGAATGACATTAAATATTATTATTAAATAATAATACATTTACAAATATTCATTGAAAGCGCCTCAATTTTCCAACTCAATATCAACATGCTCTTCAATTCAATCATTACCAATCTCCCTGCCAGGACAATCCTCAATCCGTCACCAAAACCATTAAACTATGTTCCTTGATGGTTCTATCAGATCCACGGAAACGATCAAGGTTAAAAGCTTTGGCATCTTTCCAATCGGCCTCATTCTGTTGTATTGCAACTGTAAATCTTGTATTGGGTGGTCATACGTACCCACCAACTTGTTCCGGCTAACATCACTAGGTAAAATACGTCCAACTTCTTGAATCATTGCTTCGCAGTATTATTAGTGAGTGAGTGAGTGAGTGAGTTGACTGACGCGATAAAACTTTCGTGAAACAAAAAAAATGAATTGC